GAAGTTATTCACTCATTACCTATTGATATTATTGATAATCAACATATTTCATCATAGTTTGTCATGACACTGTGACAAGAGGCAAGTATTTTTTTTTTTCCAAGTAAAATCTCACTTTAAGTCTGAGTGTGGTACTTTTGCTAACTGCTCGTCTTTGTCTCCTTATCATCTTTCCCACCTATTTCCCATTATGAAATAGTTTTGGCGGTTTGAGAGGGTTTATCCCCAACTTGCTGGGTTCAGAGATGAGTGCTGATTGGGCAAAACTAATCAGGGTAACCATCTCCCCCAGAGGGATTTGTTTAGGTAACCCAGGCCTGAGACAATCAACACTCTTCTGGATACAGGGATTAGAAAGGGTCCTTCTATGAATGTCAAGGACCAGATGTCTGTGGTTGTGGGCCCTCCCTCCAGACCTGAAGGAGGGAGCACGTGGCCCTTGTTACTGCGGGCAGGAATCTTGTCCTTGAGGGAAGCTGGCCTTTGGAGGACACTCCAAACAGGAAGAGGCACACTGAAAGTCACCTAGAAACTGACATGTGGTTTAGACTGGGCCACTCTTGAAGACATATCTCTGCCCCTTTCCGTTATGTAAGTCAATAAACCCATTTAATTTAAGCCAGTTTCAATTGAATTTACTGTTATTTGTAAATGAAAAAAGAATCCAAAATGAAATATTTACTCTTGGGTCTCACATAAGAATTCAAGAGATTAGTAGTCAACTTCAATGTTGTCAGATTGGGATTATTTATTTATTTAGCATCTCATCACTTAGTTTACAATTGCCTTGGTACATTGTAGATACTTTGGGGTTTTATATTCTGACTGATTCATTCAACAGCTGTTTATTATTAATATCAAGCATTCACTATTTAATTATCTGAAAGGCACTGTGCATACAGCAGTGATAAACATAGTTTAGTACTCAGGGAGCTCAGAGGACTGGTTGAGGAAGCAGACAAGATATATCAGAGAGGCATGCAAAAGTTAAAATGGGAAATCAGAAAGAAGGCAAAGGAGGGACTCCTAATTCAGAATGGTGGGGTGTTGGATAGGAAAGGAGAGGGAAGTTGTCATTAAAGACTCCTAAGAAGGAGTTACTTTTTAAAATTTTTTTATTATTGAAGTGTAGGTGACATGCAATGTTATATTAATTTCAGGTATACAGCATAGTGATTCAACAGTTCTATACATTTACTGAGTGCTCACCATAATAAGTGTAGTAACCATTTGTCATACATTATTATAATGTTTTGACTATATTCCCATGTTGTAATTTTCATCTCTGTGACTTATTTATTTTATAACTAGAAGTTTGCACTAACTTTTCTTTTTGTGCTATGGACCTCTTTGGCAGTATGGTGAAGCATAGAGACCCATTTTCAGAATGATGTTTTTAAATGCATAAAATACTTCAGATTGCAAAAGAAATAGCTATTAAAATATTTTTAAAAACAAAAATTTGATATAGTAACTGTATGTGAATCTTTATTAACTCATTAAAGAATAAGATCCAGTAGTGGACATAATTATTAACATGTTTGAGGTAATGATGAGTGTAAATGATATTTTGAGATATCTGTGGCAATTGTAATGTGACACAGAAATATCTGTGTTTTCTTGTAATTGCAAAGGCACAAGTACTGCTAATACTTTTGTGGTTTGTAACCTACATTCATAATAGAAAGGCACGCTAAATTTTATTTAGAGGTTTAGTTCAATGTAATTTCCTGGACCCCTGGATTCTATGCCAAGTTAAACAACAACAACAACAACAAAAACCTTGTGCTAAGGAGAGAGAGAATCTAATTTTTGACAGGCTGAAGGAGGTATCTAGGTGAATGAAATCGAAATGGGTTTGGGACATATGGAACATCGTGTGCACAGGCATGGAAACATGAGAGAGAATGAAGGACTGTCAGCAGATTGTTTTGGTTAGAATGAGGAATGAGTTTGGCAACGCGGTAGGAGGCAAAGCTGGAAAGTTTGGCAGAGACTCCTATCTTTGGAATGTGGGTTGATTATACATTATCGTGATTAAATGTGATCCTGTCTTTACTGTGTTTGAAATCCTTTACAAATTCTCCACTGCCTAGCATAGATAGTCCAAATGTCTTACAATTGCTCTTTGTAATCCAGCCCCGCTTTCCTTTCCAGTCTTATTTGCCACCACTTTTCTTGTCACATACTATGCTCCAGTGACTGTCAAATATAATGCTGCATTTATACATACTATTCTTTTTACCTCTACTCATCAGCTGGATGATCACTTCCTGTGCCTCAGTTGCCTCATCTGTAAAATGGGGACAGTAAGTACCTCATAGAGTTGTGAGATTAAGTAAAATAGTTGTTGAAACTTGCTTGAAGCAATGCCTAACACATCATAAGCTCTCAGTAAATGATAATTATTATTATTACCTCTCTTTTTCCCTGTGCCCAATTAGCCAACTTCATACATTCTTTCAATTCAGACAATTACCTCCTTCAGAAAGACTTCCTGATCACCTGACTTTCATTTCCTCCAGGGAGAATTAATAACTTCCTCTTCTGTATCATGCCAGGATCTCATATAATTTCAATTCTTGTATTTTTCACGATGTGCTGTACTCTTACATTTCTATATCGTTTTTCACTAATTATACTGTTGAATCCTTAAAAATAAGGGCTGAATATTATTTTTTGATGTCTGCAGTGTTTGATTTTACTAGGGGAACACTTAGAGCTTTCACATTTATCCACAGGTGGCAGCCACTAATAAGGTACTTTTAAATTCTGGATCCAGTGATAAGATATTTCTCAGATATAATGGTAGACTATTTGGTGTAGGTTTTAATAATAACAGGGTACTGGCCACTCTTTTTATACACATCCTTTATATGTTGGTGTTTTATTCTAAACTGGACCTTAATTTCTCACACTACACATTCTTCCTTGGGGAACTCAAAGACTTCTGTGGTATCCATTACTGTGTAATGATAATTCCTGAATTTTAACCCAGATCTCTGCCTCCTAGGGTCATTTCAATATATTCAAAATGTATACCATCTAACTTCTTCTGGGTGAGCAACAAGAAGCTTCAATTCAATATGCCAAAACTGAACTAATTTTTTAAACTCTTACCTCCTCTAGCATCACTCTTACTAACTTGGTTCATGCTCTCCTAATTTCTCATCATCTGAGTTACTGCATACTTCTTTAAAAATTAATTTTTTCTGATTAATAAAAACAAATACTTTTTCTCTGTAAAAAAATATTCAAGCAATGTAAGAAATATGTGATTTAGCAATCTCATCTTCCAAAGATAACCACTGTTCTCTCTGTGTGATGTATATATTCTGCTAGACTTTTACATGCATATGCTAACACACTTATTTTTTTTATTTATGCAGTGGTCTGTCAGTTTCCTTGTCTCTAGAATAGCCCCACTGTAATTTATTCTTGATACATACTTTTCTAAAGTATGGGAGAGTGAATGACTTTTCTAAAAGGCAAATCTCATCATGCTATTTCCCTATTCAACAGCCCCAAAAGGCTATCCATTTTTGTGGGATAAAGTCTAAATTTTTAAGAAGACATAAAAATCCTGCATGATCTGGCCCTTTCCTATCTCTCTAGCTCTAGAATCAGGCTGGATTGTGCTACATTCCAGCTTTGAAGCATTGGGCTGGTTTTTCAACTGTCGAGTGAGGATTAAAAATAATACCACATGGAGATAACAGCATATAAAGTGCCAAGCATACTGCTTGCCTTAGAGTTAATAAATATTGGCTCTTGTGGAAGAACAAAATGTTTTTGCATGTATGTGTTCAGTCTCTCCTGCTTTCTGAGTAGGATCCTTTGAGGTGCTGATTAGGTAATGCTTGAACATAATTGGAACAACCCTCACCGCCCCCATACAAAAAAAATAAAAAAGAAAGGAAAGAAGGGCAGAAATAGTTTGATTTGAATAGATTTGAGAGAAGATGGGAAGTGAAAACCTGAGTGGCAGGGAAGGATGAAGAGAGGCCAGTTGCCAGTTCCCACAAGTTATTTATTTATTTGCAGGGGGAATGGAGGTGGCAATAAAATTTAAGAAAGAAGAGATTTGAGAGAAGCAACTGTCAGTGTAAATGGGGCTTTGGAGAGATAAATGTGTGAAAAAAGACCTTTAAGATATCTCGCTAACTCTCCTCCCTTCTAGTTCCCCACAGCTTTAGTTATTTGGTCCAGACTTTAGGGATGTTAGATTTAGGCTTCTTTAGAATTTGACGATGGGTCCAGTTCGGCCAGGAACTAGCCCAGTGATATCCCAGTTACACAACTATTATTTGCCATCCTTTAACGTCCACTCCCCTCCTTGAAACTCTGACACCTGCTTGAAATTCATTTATCTAACAAAACTTTGAGTGACCTCCCTTCTCCCCATTTGCTGAATAGCCTGTTTTCCACGGTCAGCCCCTAAACTACGGTGACTTTTCTGACACCCCAACAATAAAATTTGTCACTCCTATTTGTGTGTGTGTGTGTGCAATCCAGCTTCCTACATTCGTCGCGCAGTTGAAATATTGTACACCCAATTGTCTTTCCTCCTCTGCTGAGCTCTTTGGAGCCAGGAGTGTCGTTTTATACATTTCCTAGTTCAGTATATGGCACAGAGTAGATGCTTAGTAAAATGGTTAGTGAATGAGTGTCTTGTGCATCATCTCCCTGACATCATATCCTGTGTGCAGTGGCGTCAGTTTGCATTACTCTGCAGGAGGCCCAGGGGTCTGAGGGTTTAAGTCATCGTTCATAACGTGCATCGAATATCTCAAACGCAGGTTAAAAGTTTCAGACTGCACAGAAAAAGCGCGGCCACCGCGAGGGTCCTGTCCTCAGCTTGGGGCGGAAACACGGTGCCTGGGAGAAGCCGGCTCTGGGTTGCTCTCCGGGAGTAGAAGGTGCAAGGGAGGGAGCAGGCAGCTCACTTATCGCGGTGTTTCTTCCGTCCTCCCGAGGGAGCTCTCGCGAGAGAAGTCAGGGTAAGATGGCCGCGCCCTGTTTTTCCGTGTGAGGCAGGCGGCTGCGGCAGCAGGGACAGGGATTCTGGTGTCGTGGGCACCTGAGCTCTAGCTCCCCCCAGCGAGCGCGCGTCCCTTGGTGCCTAGGCGAGAGCCGGCTCTTTTTCCTCCAGGAGATGCGTTTGTCCCGGGCTCGGGGGCGCTCTGAGAGTTCATGCTGCGCTGGAGGTGCCTGGCCACCGCTCTAATCGCCTTGCGCCGCCGCAGCGCCAGCTCCGTCGCGGGCGGTGAGCCTCCCGGATCCCCTTTCTGCCCCTGGCGGCGATGACCGGGGAGAAGATCCGCTCACTGCGGAGAGGCCACAAGCCCAGCAAAGAAGAGGGGGACCTTCTGGAGCCCGGGGATGAGGAAGCGGCGGCTACCCTCGGCGGCACCTTTACGGGAGGCAGGATTGGGACAGGCGGCAGCGGCAAGGGCGGCAAAGCCTGTCATAAGATCTTCAGTAACCATCACCACCGGCTGCAGCTGAAGACAGCTCCGGCCTCCTCCAATCCCTCTGGCGTCCCGGCCCTGCCGCGGCACAGTTCCTCCGTGACTACCACCTCCCAGTCCTCGGCTCTTCTAGCGGGCACCAACCCCATTGCTGTCGTCGCAGATGGAGGCAATTGCCCCGCACACTACCCAGTACACGAGTGCGTCTTCAAGGGGGATGTGAGGAGACTGTCTTCTCTCATCCGCACGCACAATATCGGACAGAAAGATAATCACGGTGAGGAGTGCTCGTCCCTCTCCCCACCTCTCCTTTCCCGAACCTAGCGTGTGCCTCCCCAGGCCAATGGAATCCTAGGCTTCTCTCCAGCCGACCTTTCTTTCCTTTCCTTTGCCCATCATCCGGCCCAAATGCCTGTAAATTATGACCGTTTCAGTAATAGCATGCCAGTGGTCAGGGGATTGGTTCTTGTGGGTGCAAAGGAATGTTTCCTCCTTGCCCACTTCAGAGTTTCCTCTGAGAAGCTGTTTATCTTTGAGACAGGCCTTCAATGTATTGATTTTTGACAAAGAAATTTTAAATTGCCTCTTATCCAACCTGGCCTTCTTCCTTTGTTTATGGAACTGTTTCTTTTCTTTCTCTCCCCCTCTCCCACCTTGGGATCTCGAATTTTGAACATATAAATGGCCCACCTCCCTTCATTACTCAGGTACAGATTCCAACTTGATTGCAACTGGTTGTGATCTCTACCTGCCATCAGGTTGTCTGTTTCTTTTTCTCTGCTTTCATGAAACTTAGTTCGATACAAAGTGTCTACACTTTGCATTTGAGATGGAATATAGAATGCTTTGGTTTCTGAAAGCCACACGGTAGAAATTTGTTGGCATTTGATACCTAGAGCAAGTAAAGAGTGACTTGAGTAGCTAAAATTTTGTTGGAGTTTTGAGTGTTTTGCTTGTTTTACGTAATTGCTAATAATGTTTCATCTTGATGACTGACTAAAAATAGTACTGTGATTTTTCATAGTAACTTCATCGTAGCCTATATGACAAAATAGAGTATCATTTATTATTCAAGGACTGTATTTCTACTTTCTTCCTTGACTCATTAGCTGAATTTTTTGTTCCTTTAGTTTTAAAAACATAATGTGATTGAGTTGACATTTAAGCAACAGTACATTTATTAATGAAAACGAATGTAAACACATATTTTCAACATTTAATAAGCCGTTTTAAATTGGGTAATTGACAGATATAGCTCTGCTTTTAACTGAACATGACTGTTGTATACATTCAATTAGAACACACTCAACTCTGTGTTCAAAATAATATATAACATATTAATGAAATACTTGCCTGAGGAATAAGCTCCCTTAATTCCATTGGACTCTAGGCTTCTTATCTAAAATTAGGGCAAAATTGAGATTAAAAAAATAAGATTTCTATTGGTTGTATAATTCTCTGACAACTGCACTTGTATCTGAATTTACAATATTGTAATAATATCACTGGCATTTATCATAATTCAAATCCTAAAAAAAGTACCTGAAAGCTGCACCCAGTTTTTCATTCCTACACTTATTTATTCATTTTACTGTTGTTGCAACAAACATAATATTGTTTGTTGATGGTAATTATATTCTAACCCTTTGGGGAACAGTTTGTATTAGGAGATGTGTTGTAGTTTCAGGTTATTCGTTGTTTATTAGGAAGTTTTTCAGAGTTGGCCTTCATAGTGGGTGTATGTATATATGTATATATATATATTTTCATAGGGTCATTACCTTTAAAATATTTACCTTGAAATATCTGTGAAAACAGATAAAAGTTTCTTTTTGAGAGTTAATTTCCTTTGAAAGAAGAGAGATAAATATGACTGACAAAGTACGATAGGATAGTATTTTACAATTGATCCTCTTGGTTAATCACAGAAGGTACTGAATTATAGGATTATTGGGCTTACATATTCTGTAATCCAACATTTCGGAGTTGGTTTATTAAAATACTAATTCTATTCAAAGTAAATAGAATCCTAAATCTCTTAAACTCTTGTCCTTTATCCACTCAACTTCACTTTTTAAATTGCCTTGATATACCAAAAGTTTGCATTTACTTAGCTGCCCTTGTATTGTTGGTATTTCTGATGATTGTAACCAGTAGTTCACATACCTCTGGAAAGTGTAATTGTTTTTTTCTCTGCAATATATTCTCACCTCATGCTGTGAAGTCTCCTAGGAAGAGTAGGTTATATTTAATGTGCTACTTCTTTAGTCCCTTTTTTTCTGTAGCTGCATAATTTCCCCATTACATTACTTTATTTCCTGATATTTTACTAACCTGGGTGCTTTATTTAGATTTTAAGAATATTTTTTCCTTCACATTACAAAAGATAAATGCTTTTTAAGTCACCAAACAAATTAAAGTTATATATTTGGATTGTTATAACATGATAAGTGCATAGCAGATTCATACACTCATACAGGTGCATAGCAAAGCCATACACTCATACCACATCATACCACATAGTTAGTTTTATATTCACCAGAGAGATTCCTTCTAGAACATGATGATGATGATGATGATACAATTTACTGAGTGTGTCAGCACTGTGTTAAATGTTACTTACATTATCACATTTAATTCTCACAATAACCTTGCAAAGCAGATTGTTTTATCCTTATTTTATTTTATTTTATTTTTATTTATTTGAGAGAGAGAGACTGAAAGAGCACATGAGAGGGGGGAGGGTCGGGAGGGTCAGAGGGAGAAGCAGGCTCCCTGCTAGGGACTCGATCCACGGACTCCAGGATCATGACCTGAGCCAAAGGCAGTCGCTTAACCAACTGAGCCACCCAGGCGCCCTGTTTTATCCTTATTTTAAAGGTGAGGAAAGTGAAACCTAGAGATGCAAGGAAACTTTGCTAAAGTTGCATACTTGGTATAAATTGCAAAGCTGGGAACTGAACTAATAGCTGGGACTCAAGTCAGTGGTCAACCTCTGTAAATATTTCTATTGATTAGGACCCACTATACTGCACAGAAGTAAATTCTAATAATGTGTAATGTGGTAATTTACAACAAAGTTTTTTAATATATATTTTCCCATTTAGTCCTTATAGTAGCTTTTTTTTAAAGAGTTTATTTATTTATTTGACAGAGAGCACAAGCAGGGAGAGCAGCAGGCAGAGGGAGAGGGAGACTGATGCGGGGCTTGATCCCAGGACCCTGTAATCATGACCTGACCCAAAGGCAGACGCTTAACTGACTGAGCCACCCAGGTGGCCCCTTATAGTAGCCTTATGGAGAGATTTTGCCATTGACAACTTTCAGAGTTTTTCTGTAGAGTCCAAATCTCTGACTCTTCTTTGTTCTGTTTCTTTTTTTATGTAATGGCACAAATAAATGGGCTACCTCATCCACATGATAGCCCTTTAGATATTTGACAGAGCTATCATGTTCTTAACTTAAGGTTAAACATTCCTAACTTCTGTATCCATTCGTCGTACGACTTGGTTTATAAACTGCTTAGATAGCGCCTGAAATAGTAAATATTATATAATTATGTTAAATAAGTAAATGAAAATTTTAATCATCTTCTTTCAATGAAACTCAGTTTGTTAATTCTTCCCTTTGAGGATGGTGCTCAAGACTAACCTTGTAAGTAAAGACAAAAAGGAGACTCTATTGCTCTAAGCAATATACGTTTAGTAATGTATATTACTAAAAAGCACACACTAAATAATACAGTGCAAGAGTATGTTAATTTTTTAATACTACTTTTTCTCAAGTGATTGTCTATCTCTCCATTCTCTCTCTTCTTGCAGTTATTTTTTTAACCTAAAACAGGACTTTACGTTTATTAAATTTTATCTTGGTAGTTTTGATCCTTTATTCTACCTAGCTGGAAAGCTTATTGAACCTTAATTTGGTCACTGTTTAGCTCACTATTCATTAGCTCTTTGAGTTTCCAGTGATTTCTGATTCGATAAACTTTTTTTGGAGTGCGTATGTAATGTATATTTACAAATTACTGTTTTGAATAGGAGCAAGGATCGAGCTTTTTCTTTTGTGGTAAAATGTTGGTTGAGTATGATTTGCCTTTTCTGAGTCATCAGTTATTTTGAGGAATACTGTGTTTGGATCCAAACGTATCTTTGAAATATAAGTTAAATACAGTAATAGGTATAACATCATGAATATACTATGTTCAGATATGCCAAATGATTATGACTCATTGTATATTTAGTAAAAGCATTTTTTTGGGGGGTGGGGGAAAAGATACATTACATTAAATGTACACAAATTTTATTAAACTTTATATCTTTAGTGTATTTTTAGTTCTATATTATTTTTTCTTTAGTATAGAATTAAAGTTTAAGTCTAAGCCTTTCTTCACATTGTAAAAATTTTTCTGAATCACTTTTTGCCATTGGTAGTTAAAGTATCATGGTGACATGCTTTTTTTTTTTTTTATAATTCCCATGGTAATGAGTTTTACTTCTTTAGCACCTTTAGAATTGAGAGTGCTTATGAAGCATATAGAACACTTTCTTGATTTTGACTGCAATTCCTATTTGTTAAACTTGTAATTTTGTTTTTTCCCTTGAGTTAAATATCCTTAGACGTAAAGTACTTTCCCTTGGACATTCATCAGAAACTTTGAGATACCAGAGTGATGGAAGTCCTTGATATATGAATTGCTTAAACCAGCCTTTCCTAGATGTGAGAAATTTCTGATGTATTCTGAGAGATTTGGCAGTTTCTGCTGCCTTTAATTACATTGCCTGGCATGTGACAAGCCATCTTCTCCATACAGTTAATTTTTATTTTTACTGAGTTGTAGCATACTCTTTGTGTAGCTATTTCACAAGGTGATTACAAATTTCAAATGTAAGTTAAATTTCAGTTGAGAATGTTGCTGCCAATGTTGGTAACTCAAGGGAATGGTATTGAAATGGTTAATACGTATAGCCTCTCTGCCTGGTGGCTGGCAGATTTCTTCAGACAAGGATTTTAAAACATTTTAATTTCAAAATGATTAAAAATATATGTTTGAGAATTGACGCATTAGGATAATCTGTTGGTGCCTATGTGGTAGGTTTATTTTGGCTTATTCTATATACATCTTTAAATTTCCTTTTGATATTATTTTCTCTGCTTTGTGTTTGTCACTAAAATCTTTATGATGGGTGATGCAAGAAAATAATGCATCTTACGTCTGTTTGAGAAGTGACTATAAAGTTAGATTTTCCATGGCAAAAAAAAAAATTCTTTTTTTTT